CCTTGGATCTTCTCTTCTACCAGGACGACGTTTTCTTGGTTGACACTCAGCTTGCCCGCCTTGCGAAGAAGGTTCGTGCTGTCGATAAAAGCCTGGCCAAGGCTGGTCTCCGCCTCGCGACTGAGAAGACCAAAATTGTAGCGAATAAGCACTATTCTGGTGCTCGCCAGGTCAGGGTCGGGGACAGCCTCTTCACGATTGCCGGTTTGGGTGAGTCCATCCGTGTCCTGGGGGTGACCTTCGCCCTCACTGACGACCCCTCCGAACAGGCCAAGGGAATCATTGCACGCACGCGGGACGCAATCCATGCGCATCGTGACATTCTCGTTGCTCAGGGTGCATGGTGCCAGAAGATCACGATCATGAAAACCCTCATTGAATCCCAATTTAATTGGATAGGGGGTGCACTACATTGGAGCTCTGCTGACCTACACAGCCTCAATGTTTTGCAGGCACATGCATGTCGTGCAGCCTTTGGTCTTCGGCGAGCTCCAGATGAAGATTGGCCAACATGGAATGCACGTACAATGCGATTCGTACGTGTGTGGCTCCACAACAATCAAGTGGCCCGCTGGTCTGAACGCATCCTCACGCTTCAGCATATGCTCCACGGACACTGGGCCAGAAGGGTTGAGTGTGTTAGGGGTGAAGTTCAAGTCAGCCCACCACTTCGTGCACTTCAGTGGCGCAGTACGCAGTGGTGGAGGTCGCAGCAAGATCTCACTCGCACTGGCCTCCGTCACCCCGGCCGCTTCTACGCCTCCTGTACAGAAAGGCAACTCTCTGACTCCCATGGACCCCTTTGGTCAGTTCTTGCACAAGACCGTCGACAATGGGCAATCGCGCGAAAAGAATACATTGCCCAATGGGATGTCAGATGGACCTCTGGGCGTCAACTTTCACTTCGTTTCTGAAGGGGTTGTCTCGCTGCGTGTGAAGTCTCCCTTTTGTTTGTGGGACTGAGATGCAGCAGGACTCATCACTCTCAGGGTGTATTTGAAAGTCTCCAAGTTTGGCTCCACCATGTCTCTCTTGCAGCTGCTTGTGACCTACATCTTACATGTTGATGCGCACAGTGCCTGAAAACACACAAGTTCACAGTTTTACATGACCGCACTCGCCGAATGTACTTGTGGATGCCGCCTCTGGGCTCGAGGCTTTTGGACAACTTGACCGACTACGCCTTCTTCCACGCAATGGCCTGGTGGCGGCGCTTCACCCTCCCCTTCCTGCTCTTCTACACGGTGGAGACCGTTGCGAACCCCCATGACGATACATCACGGCCGCCGGAGAATGGGGGAAACCAGTCTGGACAGGGAGACAATGCTCTACGTCGCTGGAACGCACAGGAGATTGCTGATGCACACGCAAGTGCCTGGTCGGACGACACATGGACGACAACTCCTACTTCGGCGGTGGGCGGCTCGGCATGGGACGATACCCCTGATGCTCCGGCTACTGGGGAGATGCTGCCTGCTCCTACTTCCTCGGGGGTGACTTTGCCTGTGTTGGCTTCTTCCTCTGCTTTTTCTTCCCCGTGCTCATCATTGTCTACTATGCCGGGGTCGTCTTCTTTGCCGCCCTCGTCGACGATCTGGACTACGCCACCCTGGGATGAGACTCCGCTGGCCGCGACGGGGTCCTCTTCTTCGTCCTCCTCTACGACGTGGTCTGCTCGCAGGGCTGGTTGCCAGGAGGATGTCAGTGCTTATATGGCCAGCCGCTGGGACGAAGATGTCTGCCTCAGTCTTCAGGAAGAAGAACTTGAACAGTGGCAAGTATCCGGACTCCAGGCTGAAACAACGGGCGCCCCTCCTCTTGCACCGATTCCTGAGGATCTACCTCTACCTTTCGCGGTGGAAGTCCCAGAGCCGCCATGCAGCGACCTTGGTACTGAGAAGGGCGACTGGTTGGCTGCAGTCATGGACACCAGGCATCTGCGAAGACGAGCACAGGAAGAAGACAGCAACCAGGTTTTGGAAAAGGGCGACTGGTTAGCTGCGGTCATGGACACCCGGAACCTCCGCAGACAAGCACCGGCAGACGACGCTCGACCTCCTCATGGCCGTGATCCCACCACGCTGACCTCACCGTCGGGCTCCTCCAGATGCTCTTCTTTGACTGATGACCATGGGATTACACAGAGAGGGACGACAACGAGGCCTGGTCATGACAGGTGGCACCATCCAGATGGCAGGATCAGAAACCGCAGGCAAGAACGCCTTCAGCGTGAACAAGATGAAGGCGTCGACCTACCGGCCAACCACGACAACGACGAGCCCCCTTTCACCATCACCGGCCAGGGCATGCACGGCAACGAGCGTACAGTGAAGGCCGTAACGTTCTACA